TCTTCACAGATGTCAATAAAGAAGTTTTATTTTTAAGAGTGCGACTGGAAAAGTCATGGGGTCTTCGAATATTGTTGTTCACATTGGGGGGCTTTAGAGTCAAAAAGGTTGAGAACCACTGCCTTGAGACTTTAACAGTATAACAGACATAGTGATAATATGAAATATTGGATTACAAATTGTAACACAGAAATTATGAGTTGCTTTAGCGTGGCAGTTTTTAAGACTTTGATATCATTATACCCCACGGCTCCTTCTGTGGCCCAGACACAAGTGGATCACTATAGCTGAAGTACATGTGATTTTGTTTTGTCCTTAAATTAGCATGGAAATGGCCTGGAAAATGGGATATAAATGGAAATGTCAGCTAGTTGGCTGAACCAACAATTGAGCATGTAAACAAAAGCCACATTGTCAGAGACGCTAACAACACTCCTCTGTGTCTTCACACTGCCCCAATCCCACCAGATTTAGAACACACTCCACGGACTCCTGATGTGCTGCTGGCAGCCAGAGAAAAGCTGTCAGAGGGAATAAGAGGGAAAGGTCATTATGTCTGATGTATACATTCAGCTGGGCTGGTGCAGCTGTGTGGGCATCAGAAAGATCTCGCTGGAGGACAGGCCTATTGTGCCAGTCTGATTGTTCCTCTATGGCACTGAGCTTACGGAGAGACCCTGACTTTAACAGGGACAGGGCCTGTTGACAAACAAGCAGGCCTCTGTCTGAGGCAGGAGAATGAGGCTGCAGGTGCTTGGGCCATGCTTGGATCGAGCCGCGAATGCCTGCTCAGATGCCAGCGGAGGCATTTCCTGCTTAGTCTGACATAGGAAGGCATCCTGGCAACGGCCAAACACCAAGCAGGAATGAATAAAAGGCAAAGACCGGTATCGAAGTGCACATAAATGCCCATCAGACCTACAAAAATATAGACAGAGGCACGCTTCAAAACACATCCACACAGTGGTTCTGCTGTAGAAGGGCACAGTGATACTCAGACATTCAGAAACAAAGACAAACAGATACATTGTATAAGATTATTGCAATTTTAACAGTAAAAGACTGTAAACGTGCTATGTTAATCAGTTAACAAAACATTCCCTCCTTCTTATTATTTCTTTCTTAGTTTTTTCTTATCAGTTATGTATATTATGGTCTTATGTTACATCTTATGTTGTTAAATTAATGTTTAATGTATTAGTTAGTGTCGTGTGTATGGAAGCTTGTTTCAGCCACAGAATAATAAAAAATAAAAGGTGTGACTTTTTATCTCACTATTCTGACTTTTTCTCGCAATTATGAGTGTATATCTCACAATTACAGGTGCATCTCAATAAATTAGAATGTCGTGGAAAAGTCTTAAACTACTTCAGTCTGTGTGCATTGAATTTATTTAATACACGAGTTTCACAATTTGAGTTGAATTACTGAAATAAATGAACTTTTCCATGACATTCTAATTTATTGAGATGCACCTGTATATTTGAACTCTGTATAAACTCGGTAAAATCAGAATTTAAATCTTGCAATTCTGAGTTTTTATGTTGCAGTTCTCACAATTTTTCTCAGAATTGCGAAAAACTAAGTCTGAATTGTGAGATCATTTCAAAATTGTGAGAAAAAAAGTAGAATTATGAGATAAAAAGTCACACTTACCTTTTTATGTTTTATTTGGTGGTGAAAAGCAGGCTTCCATATTGTGTTACCATGTTTAGTATTTGTGGAAAAGGATACTTGTGGTAATCTTTGATTCATCATGGCTTTCTCTTTACCACTTGTGTTTTTAAGGTGATTGTCAGTTAAAAAACAGGTTTTAGAAATTTGGTATAACTTATTTCTTAAAAAAACACTATGAATTAAGTTCAATCTGTAAAACTTCAATGTTGCAACCTTATTGTTTAAGGTACATGTCTGACAACCATATTTTATTTTTTTAACAACGTACAAATACAAATTTAAATCCTCGATGCATCTCATTTTGTAGTATCCCACAGTGTTGAGAATTCCACTGTAGCTACAAAGAAATGATTTAATGTGAACTGGTGCAGAGCAGCAGGCAAAGACAGTGTGACACAATGACCCGGTGCCAGAGAGTGTAAATCTGGCACAGTGTCTGCCATCACACCACACTATGATTAACAACAGACGGCAGAGCAACAGACAGCCTGATCCGCTCCTTTTCTCCTCTATGCTAGCATTCATATCTGCTATTTTCATGGAAGAGGTGCTTCTAAATTGTACAGCCACAATAAACTGTTTCAAGCATCTACAATGCCTACAAACCCAAATGTAGCCAAGGTGAACACAGCTTTTACAGCCTCAATAATTGTTTCAAGCACCCATGATGATGTGTCCAATCCCAAATATCCTTAAATAGAAATATAGACATGCAGGATTTAAAATCAACTAAAACTGTTTGAAGGAAATTAGAGGAAGTGCACACAAGATGCCTTATTTTCTGCTGTACAGGATACAAAGCAGCACAGCTCCAAATTTGGCAACGTGGCATAAAAAGAAAGTCAGATAAGTCAGTGGCCAGCACGTCTGTGGGGATTATTTTTAGTTGTACTATTTAGTAGAGAATCGAAGAAAATGTTTGTCCCCTGCCTTTGCCTGCACACTCTGTTCCCGAGTTTCACACGGCACTGTTTGCACTGGGAATCTTCTTCCAGTTGACATGGCCCAGCCCGGCGAGCTGCCCTTCCTCGCACCCTCGGTGCACTGTAAACATCCCAGGGTCAGCACCTTACCAAGCGCCTGCCTGTGCACACACTTAACTTCCTGTTTACTGTAAATGCTACAAGCCCCACTGGACACCAATAGCCTTATTATTGTCTATGATCTGGAAAGTGGAATGTTGTCTCATACAGTGTATCATGCATGCTTAAATATGTACGTGCATGCACAAATTTTATATATTTTATAAACTGCAAATATGAGACAGTGGTAAAGAGAAAAGATAAATATTTGGCAGGAAAATGTGAGCATACGTTTCATGGTTTGAACACATGGCTCAGCCCTGGCAAGGGAGATAATGGAAAACCCAACAGGGGGTCAAAGTACTGAGTGACTCATTGTAAGCTATGGCTTTACGTTATTTCATGTTATTTTAATGTTTTAATGCTTAATGTTCTTTTTAATACTTTATTTAGCCTACTTTACCCTCGGGAAATCTTTTTATCCCTTTTTAATCAAAGGCATACATATATGAGTAAACATTGCCCTGACAAGGAGCTGAGAAAGAATGGAGGGATTGTCCTTCGATGGGGAGGAGTGTTTGTGTGTGTGCTGGGGAACAACCTCCTTGGCTCCTTATATTTCTCATTCATCTCTCACATCACATAGATGACTGGCACTAACTGAAAACACACACAGTCTAGGTTCTGTGACCAGCAGTTCAGGTTCAGAGAGCTGCCTTACACAGTAAGAAAAAGACAAAAGCAGCTGTAAGTGATATATCGGTCAAAAACACATTTTGCCACGTTTTGTTTTATTTTTGTTTAATTATACAATACTGATAAAAATAATGTTCTTTTTAGCAGCATCATATGACCCCTTTAAAATATGCTATTTAAAATGTTTTTTTCTGAAATTAAAACTTGTAGTGTCCTGAACTAAATACCTATAGCACACACACACACACACACACACACACACACATGTCCGGTTCACTATCCTTGTGGGGACCATAGGCGTAATGGTTTTTATACTGTACAAACTGTATTTTCTATCGCCCTACACCAACCCTAAACCTACCCCTCACTTAAAACTTTCTGCATTTTTACAATCTCAAAAAACTCATTCTGTATGATTTATAAGCTTTTGTACCCATGGGGACACAAGTCCCCATGAGTTGCTGTGTATTCAGGTTTAAGTCCCCACCAGTGTAGAAAAACCTGTGCACACACACACAATAGGCTATACCAGCCTATTTAATACAGAAAAACGTAAGTTCCACAACGCTGTTTACGCGCGGTTTAATGCACTAAAGAACGTCATTGTTTTGCACAGGTTATTCTGGTTTATAATGGAAAGTAAATGTCGCTGTTTGCGCATTTCGCTGCCAGTGTACACTTATTTATACACGAGATTGCAACCATCCACTGCTGTTCCGCGCCCAGCAGCCACCACGTGATGTTTTCACAAGCGGTATCTGTTGTTAATAGAGCAAACGCTGAAAACAACCATAAAAACATTCTTGCTGGGGCAAGTTTTTATGAATGGCATTTTTCCTTCCTTGACTTTCCCCTTTTTTTCAGAATGAAAAACAACTGGAAACGTACTAGGGAAAGCCCTTGGGACTCTCAAGCCGCGATTGGCTAAAAGAACGCAAGCTCCGCCTTCGGTTGTTAAACCTTGAATCTGATTGGTTGGAATGCGCAGAAAGGCTTCATTCATAAGGAAGGACAAAGAAAGGTAATTTGAGCTCTTGAAAGAGAAAATCCACCAATCAAAATCCTTCCTACAAAGCGAAAACCCGACAGCAAGAAAAGCAAGTTAAAGTCAGCAGTATGATTTAAGAAAAGCGAATATATTTTTTCTTTAATCAACGTATTGAGGCCACACATCCACTGTATACGACAAACATACACTGTATATCCCACTGAAATTTGGGTTATAAAATTAAAAGCTTAAGTTTTATTGCTGCCTGAACTTTTATAATTGCAACCTACAGTGATCCTGCAGGGAAAAATAGTTAGAAATGGCTAATTATTATGGTAAGCTAAATGAATTAAAACAAATACGTTCTTACACTGTATAACATCACTGAAACTTAATATAAATGTATAAAACAATATAATCTCTTACATTTTTCGTCGTTTCGATGATGAAGAATATGATTCTTTCACTATACTAGCATAATCTGATAGCGGACGTGGCATATATACAAGTTAGCTATAAGATACTACGTATACATTTTTTCACCCACAAACTCCTTTGTAAACTCTTTAGACAATAGCGTCTTGCCTCAAATGAAGCAAAAACATGTCTCGAGCTGTCCAGACTGTGGTTTAGCGGAGACCAGAGAGTGTTTGTACGCACGCTGCTGTTTTTTTTTGTGAATGGAGCTCATTACGTATGCAGCCTTCTCGCGCTCCATTCACAAAGTGCTGCTGCTGCCTCTGTCCGTCTTCCTTCCCCTCAGTCTGCGTGGATCTCATTAAAACACAGCCTAAATGACCACAAACGGTTAAGGCATGGATTATAAAATGGATGGATATCTGGACCAGCAAGTGCCTTATACTTTAGCTAATGTGAGTATGGCTTTATTCACTTCAAAGCTTCGTTGGGCTTCATGCGGGGATGTTGTGCTGTTCCTCTGTCGTCGTTGCATGTGATTTGAGTTAAGCAAGCGCTGTTGCGCTGAAAACTCTTTTCAGTTTGGGCTGAAACCAAGTAAAACTGTCGCAATTAGTCTACTAATAATTATATTTCTCCATATGTTGTACGTTGTGCTCAAAAGGTAAAGTTTAATCCTCTCAGCAAACGCTTTTCTCAGATGTGAATTCTTACTTAAAAGGAAATCAAAACTTCCCTTTTCAGGATGCTTGAATTGTGACTATTTGCTATTGTGAGAGGCACTGCAGTGAATTCAGTTTTGATGTAGAATGGGCATAATAACCATCACACTATGTATGCCAAAAAATGATTTAGTCTTGACAGTATCCAGTATTTTTGTACCTTGTTGTCATAGAGAAATTATCACTTTGACTATTTCTTTTAAAATTGGTTAGGTTCTCTAGTGGATTTTAAAATCAATATCCATCCTCATGCTTCTGAAGTTATTTTCTGTGTATGTATTTTTCGCTTACATAATGTAGTTTCTGTTTTGTAGAGGTCGCAAGGAAATGGGCCCCTAAATAGACTGTTGATGGCGACAAAAAGGAAATACATGGACACCGAATTACCCCCTCAGGAATCCGAAGGTAAAGTAGCAAGCAAGTTTAAAATTTTCATAATGTTTTATCTACACTGTATATTGTCAGGACGGTGTCTTTAAAATGGCAGATTTTACAAGTGAATAAGCTAATTTATCAAAATGTCAGAACAATTTTTCTGGTAAACAGATGATGTATATATCAAAAAAGGAAAGAATTATTTGAGGCTGGTATGGAAAAATAGATCAGGGTGATAATGATTTCTGTTTCATTTCAGATCTCTTTCAGGATTTAAGCCAACTTCAGGAGACATGGCTCACTGAAGGTATGCGCCTATTCTAAGCATGTACTGTGTCTATATTGCAATAAATATGTCCCTCTAGTGGCAGTGAGCAAGGAAATGTCACAGGAGGACATGCTATAGCAAGTTCACGCTGCTTGGTGAGATTTACAAAACAAAAACAATAGAAAGGTTTAGAATCAGGTGGCTTATCTGCTTAATAAGGCAAGACAGCTGTTAGAAATAATTCATGTTTTCATTTTAGAAATTTAGGAGGAAAAGGTTTTTAATAGGTGTGATAGTCCAATACAGTATTTAATGCCTGAATTTAAGATTTACTGTACATCAGGACAATCGTGTCAATGTATAGCTGTAAATGTGTTGCTTTTTTAAAGTTTACAAAAATGCCTTGATTGCACAATGCTGCTGGTTACATTTTATTTGGAAAGTCCTGACAAAGGCTCTTAAAGCCTATACACTCAGGCAAAGCAAACAAACAGCATCAAAGCTGGACAGTCAGGAGGCAAATAGTTGAAATGAACCCTGCCAGAAACAATTTACTGTGTACATGTCAGAGTGTGGAGAACACAAAGGCTGCTCTCAATGAGACCGGGTGGCTGGAACCCCGCTGTTCTGAATGAATTATACATCTGTCCGATAGCAAACCCTAATGTGTATTTTAAGATAATAATTAAGGTGATATAAATGCAATTTTAAAAATGAAATGATAAACAATGATTTTGTCCACGTTGAGCTTATATTGGAAAGAATGTTAATGCATCATTTTATCTTATGCTTTATCAGAAATTAACACATCCTGGTTGTAATTGCATACAGTTAAGATGACATATGGCAAATATGAGATGCATTATCTTCAGATAACACCTAAGAGTCTTAAATTCAAGGAATGAATTAGGGAAATAACACAATATTATAAACAGAAAAAAAACATTACTTGAAGGATTTTTTAAATATTAATTTTAATATTTTTATTTCATTTATTTAAATTAAATATACATTTTGATTTAAACATTAAGACATTTACAGGAATCCCTCAATGTTGTTAATGGAATATTTTAAGGATTTCAAAATGCAAAACAAAATAAGAGTTCTCAATAAATTGCATCATCCTAAGAGCAGAACTATCAGCTATTATTATGCAGCGTCAAACTGTGAACTTCACACATCAGTCAGGAGACAGGGACATTTTTCAATGACCAGAAACCAGGAACAATAGAGAAGAACACGGAAGTTTAACAGGTGAAGTAGAAAGACACTTTAGCTATGAAGTTTGAACAGTGATTATAGTGTTTTGAGAGCACTTTAATTGCTCACACACACTTGCTCTTTAAAAGCAGTCTCATTTTTCCTGGCCGTGAACTTTTCTTTCTTCTTTTCGGAGGGAATGGCTTATAATCAGGTGGTTATGATGAGTAATTCAATATATTGTTAAAACAGACACTGCTGCAGGGATTTTGCACTTTAAAGGCTAAGATAAAACATAGAAGGGGGCCACAAGTTGTTAATAGAAAAGCTTGTCCAATCATGTGAGTATTCTTTACATTTTAAGACAGACCTCCTGGCTCCTCCTAGGACCTGCTGAACTAAAAAATAAGTCATTCAGGTTCCCTCAAAGAAAAAGGAAACATGTCTCCATGCTTGCACAGACAAACTTTAGTCTTGTGCTGACTTGCATTTCAAAGCCCTTGACAGGATGTTTCTGGAAGCTCACTGACTTGAAACAAATATATAAACTCTCTCTCTCTTACACACACACACACACACACACACACACACACAGACTCCCACAGACATTCACAGACACACGGTCTGATGTGACCATGTATGTGTTTGCTTACACACACACAGACGAACTAGACTGAGAGAGATCGGGTTGGTTTCAGTCAGCCCTGGAAACTCTAAAAAGCTTGAGGGACTCACAGTAAACTGTTTTTTTTCTATCTGCCTAAAAATTGCATGTTCTCCTTTTGAAGCACATGCAATTTTGAGAAGTTGAAGCACGTCTGATGGTGGGCCAAATATTGGCTTCAGCTTTGACTCATAAAAACAGCCTTACTAATCCTCCTCGGGGCAGAAAAAAAAAAACTTAAATGACTCTAATATAATTACAGTATAGCAACAGGATAAGAGCAGCATCTATGAAATTAATGTCATTTCTTTGAGCATGCTCAAAGGGGCATCAGTACGGTTTCCGTTACACAGGAAGTGCCAGATTAATGTTAAAGAGATGGATTTAATTCTCCCAATGTTCTGGTTTCTGTGTTCATGGACTACTGGTTAAAAGCGGAGAGAGAATATGCCCAAGAAAAAAAGAAGTGTGTAACAAGTGTCACTGTCATATAGGAGCATGCATGACTAAGAGCTATTGCATGTCAGGAATAAAAAAAGAACAGTGGATAAAGGGGAAGAACCCAAGTTTCTTTTGCTTGTGCCTTTTATTGAGCCATAAACACATCAAGTTTTTAGTTTTAATACACTATTATTATTATTATTTTAGATAAAGGCCACCACTTACATTACATTTGCATTAAATTCAGGCTTTGAGGGCAAATATTTTATGGTGCTTTGAGATATTGGTGTGGAATAAATCTGAGAACAAGCCTTACTTGTGCAACTTAGCCCAAAAAAATAATAATTAGAAGAAGAAAAAGCAATATAACTATGACAGGAAATTCAAGGTCGCCATCATCAATATGGATACATTTTAGCACAACTATAATACAATAAGGACAACTCAACTTTTATTTATTATTTTATTTATTAGCATAATAACAATGACTTGTCAAGGCTTTTTGTCCAACTGTATTGAGTGGCAGTCCTTGGAATCATATTCCATTATTGAACCAGTCTGCAAATGTACAAATCCACAAAAAGTAAAGTCAGCAAATCCGCATATTATTATTAATACCCTTTATGGGACATTATTGATTGTTACTGTACATTATTATGCAATCAGTATGTAAGACATATCCATTGCTTGTGTCCGTAGATTTCACCCAGCATGACCTTTAAAGAAACATAGTCATTTGAAGCTCAACAGAATCTATCCACATTTAATTTGGCCATAAACACCAAAGAAATGACTGTACACAATGCCAGAAACATTTATCTTACAATCATACGCATGCCAATAGTTCGATAATATGAAAAAAAAGATCAAAGCTATCTTTTCTTTGTCTGAGGCTCATTAAACTTTAGAAACTGCACTTTTCTTCTACTTTACCTTAGTTATTTTCTCTATTCTTTCCCTCGCTCCCTATCTCTTCTCAAACAATTACATGACCTTAAAAGCCAGCATTCAAAACTTCAAAGCAGGTGATGAATTCCAGAACACTTCACCAAGCAGAGCTGACCAACATTGTCTGAGAATGTCTTTTAGTTTTTTTTTTCTATGTGGGCAGGAAGATACATTTAGTATTAATGCTACGCTGCTACATTTGCTCTCTTCTGAATCGTTTCTTATTCTGTTGAAACATGCTTACGATGGATAAGCGAGGTAATTGGCTATCAGCCGAAAGACTGTAAATCCATCAGCAGGATCCAGCTAGAGTGTTGGTGATGGGTAGGGGGAGGACATCACTTCTTGTGGTCTGACATTGATCACTCCTTATTATGTAAATAAGGCCTGTATATGATACAGATGTGGGGTGCCGGATGTGCACATGAACCAAGTTAAATTTCTATGCAACATTTTTATCATTGATAATTGGATTGTAGGTTTTGCATAACGATTTGGCAGAAATCACCCATTTACATCTAAATTTGATAACTTGAGCCCTTCCGCATGCCAGAACCAGCACTGGTGCTCCTTAAAAATGTTTTTTAAATAAATAAAAATTGATAAATAAATACAAATTTAATCAATTAAAATAAATAAGAAATTAAAATAAAGAATAAAATTAAAAAATAAAACTGTACAAGTAATATGAGTAAAGCTGACATAGTCAAAAATACTAGCAAAAAAAAAAAAAGGCAAAAATACAAATACAAAATAAAAGGAGAGAGCAAATTTTGATACAAGGGTAATAATAGCCCATCTAATGTTCATCTGATGGAATTCGGCAGTAATCAAGATATCTGCACACACACACACACTCAGTGGTGATATTGATCTGCTGCCTGTGGAAAAGTGCTGGCACATGGAAAAGTGGAGGTGAAGGTCACGGGCTGTGCAGAGGCAGTAACTCAGGTTTCACAGGGATGATGAAGTGAGACACAGGCTAGGCTAATGGACAGCCAATACCTTCATCAAATCACAGTGTCCATTTAGGCTTTGTGTGCTCAAGAAAAATGACTTGGTTTGAAAACATATTTAAGGCCCGAGCACCAATGATGCGAGGACCCTCTTGGAATTGCTCTGTTTCTTCTTCTTCTTCTCCAAAGTGAATCGCATTTTGAGGGCTTGAACATGCTCAAAAAGTCACAACACTTTGCAAACGCATCAGAACTGGTGAAAATATACATCTGATATGGGTTTCAGAATTGGGCCTGGCAAAATGGCTCGATATCGCCATCAATAAAAATTAAACGAAGTGCCCCTCTTGCTATGTTTCACGTACGTGTACGAAATTTGGTACATGCATGTAATGTCCCAATACCTACAAAAAAGTATCTTGGTGCGAAGTCCTAAATGCAACAGGACGTCAGCCATTTTGAATTTCCTCTTTGTGCAGTTTTTGCCATTTTCAGACGTCGTATAACAAACTCCTCAGTTTTAATCGGATCATCTTCAAATTTGGTGAGTGTAATCATAAGGCCTTTGCAATGCTAAATTGCGAAGATGTTGAGTTTTCGTCGAAGGTCGTGTCTGTGGCGGCCTGACAAATTTCGATGTTTCACCATGAAACAGAAAGTTGCTATAACAATGTCTACATCAGCATACAATGTCTGATCTGCCCCAAACTTCACATATTTGATAAGTGAGTCCTGTCCTGAACACATGCCCATGCCATTATTCAGTTGTAGTCATAGCGCCACCTGCTGCCAACAGGAAGTGGCATGTTTTACGCTGTAACAAACTCCTAGAGATTTAATGACATCAACATGTTAAATTGTGAAGATCTTCAGTTTTCGTTAAAGTGCGTGTCCGTGGTGGCCTGACAAAGTTCGATGTTTCGCCATGAAAATGACGTTGTTGTAACTCAGCCATACAATGTCCAATCTGCCCCAAACTTCACACGTTTGATAAGAGTTTTGGTCTGAACACATCTAAAGGCCAATATTAAGTTATAATCATAGCGCCACCTGCTGGCAACAGGAAATTACTTGTTTTACACTAACTTAAACATGCAATGTCAGATCTGCCCCAAACTTCACATGTTTGGTAAGAGTCCTAGCCTGAAAACATCAACATGCCAATATTTAGTTATAATTTATAGTGCCACCTATTGGAAACAAGAAAAGTCATGTTTTACACTAACTAAAATATGCAATGACCAATCTGCCCCAAACTTCTTGTTTGATAAGAGTCCTGGCCTGAGGACATCTAAAGGCCAATATTCAGTTATAATCATAGCGCCACCTGTTGGCAACAGGACATGCCACGTTTTACACTAACTCAAACATACCAATCTGCACCAAACTTCACATGTTTGATAAAAGTCCTGGCCTGAAGACATCTACATGCCAATATTCAGTTATAGTCATAGCGCCACCAGCTGGCAGCAGGAAGTTTGGCACATATAAATTACTTTGACATATTCCTCCTATATTTACCACTTTAAACGCATATTGCCCACCGTTCACTGATTTCCTAAGGCCACCGGGTGGAAGTGGCTCCGGATGCGAGGGCCCTTTAAAGGCTGCTTGCAGCTTTAATTTGAGTCTGATCTCTGAGTTAGCAGGGGCAGAAAGGAGGAGACACAGGAAAATATAAATCCAAACTATACTAAAAAAAAATGTTTTAACCCTCAAAGTCTGGTTGGGGTCATATAACATATTTAACATTTAATTATAAGGTTGTATTTAATATCTGAGGGACTCCAGACAAGAGTAAACATCCTCATATATATATTGTTTTTTCTTGATTTCAAAAATAGTTATAAATTCATTTTATTTACTTATATTTTACATTTAGATTTTTTTTTAATTCATTTTAATTTTTACAACAGAAACAGCAGTTCTAGTATCTATAGTCATATTTCTGAAAATTGCATCTCTGCTTTGTGTTAAAACTTTAAAAGTATCTGCCTTCTGGGTTTAGATTTGGGTTTTATAAAAGAATATAAAGAATAATTTGTTTTCTTACATAATTTTTTATACATATGTCATATATGTGAATATATTAGTACATATTTTTAGAATGCTTAATTAAACATTTTGGTGTTCTCTGCAGCTCAAGTTCCTGATAGCGATGAGCAATTTGTTCCTGACTTCCACTCAGAGAACTGTAAGTACATCATTCCTTTTGATTTACGTCTTATTCATGAACATTAATGAACATGAAACCTGAGAGGCTGAGAAAAATGACAAAAACAAAAAGATATAGATAAAGAAGAGGAAGTAGGTTTGTCCTCCAATTATTTGTCCAGAAAGTGACTGATTGACAAACTGCTGGAGGCTGAGGCGTGGAGATTTTCAGACGAACAGTCCTGTTCTCAGCCTCTGCATAACAGAAACACACGATACATGACCTACTACACTTACACTGACGTATTTGGATGTTCATACTAAAGAGCACCTTCCATTTGCATGTGCCTGAAAGACTCAACTGAGCAGCTAAGGAAGCCGGTAAAAGATCATTCAGCAGTCAAGCACAAAGATTTCCTTTTTGTGTCTGACAGAGGTGTAAATGGGAAAGCAAATTCCTACCGCACAATGCAAAGGTCGCCTTTTCAACTGCAATCCTTATTTTGTTGTGTCTCCTGTCAATGGCGTGCCGGGCTTTGTGGTGCATGCTCTGTAAACAGTTCCCCTTGAACCTTTTGTTACAGCCATTCACAACATATTGGGTTGGGCCTTTACCCCGCTGGCAAGTTTGTTATGGTGACAATTTTTTCAAGGGTTGCAAAGTTCATAGTATGAGTCATAGATCTTGTTTTTTTCAGTGACACGAACCGGGCAGTGGCTTGCTAAAAGACGCAGGGTAGTCGCAATCCCAAAACTCATGTGTGCAAACAGTGCTATAGTACCCCATTCTAGATCTGACCTCTAATGACAGATGCTCCCCATAACATATTGTTCTTGTCTGTTGTGCAACAATGAGGGGAAGGAAGTGGAGATGAACTCTGGGGCAGGAAAGGGTCATGTCTACTTAACCCCATCAGGACATGACCAATCACGAGTGCTCTTTGCCATTGACAGCCTTTCCTAATAGTCACAGAGGAGTTGGGAGTTCAGGCTGACAGGCCTGTCACATTAGTTAAGTGGAGCAAAGCTTTGACTGACAGCAACACCCACCCTTTCATTTAGACGTAATGGAGTAATAACTCATGAATTGGTCGCCGTTTGAGGTCGCTCATTGAAAAAAAAAAAGCCTTGAGTTGACAAAGCAGCTATACACAAAAATATATTCTCCCACGTTTGTGGTCCTTATAGTGTGGGTCAGTTTATGCCACCAGCTAAGATCCAAACACAGCCTCCTCCCTATTGCTAGGTTCAAACGCACTAAGATTATCATGACATTCAGGTGAGTCAGATGTTTTGCTAAATCGTCCCAGCATGTTACATTTCATAACTGTCTCTTGGCCTTTTGTCTGTAAACACATGAGGGAAAACAAGATACATGGCATCAAGTGTTCGCTTGTTTTGCCAGTCAAGTTATTTCCCGTCTGGGCACGACCGTGAGTCTAAGACTCTGGGATAGAGCGGAATGCCAGATTAAAGAAGTGGGGGAGGTGCTGGACATGCTGTTGTGCAACACCTGCACATCTGGCAAATCTATCCCCATCCATCTCGTTTTTCCACATTGAGAGTCTCCATTTGGCGTAACTGTGACCTGTTTGTCATTATTGGGGATGGAACTAATTTGGTACATCCTCGGTACATAAACTGTCATTCAGAACTTGGGATATGAATGTGAAAATGATTAGTTTGACTAGTTAGGGAATCATTAACATGTTAAATGCTTTAAAAGGACTCCTCTAGACTTTAAACTAGACAGTGCTGTAGAAAATGAATAGCCAAAGGAAATGAATCAGAACAAGAGATCACAAAGCAAACACAAAACTTCCCATAAATTGTAATAAATTAAAACGGTACATTTTTTCTTTTTTTTTGTCAAATAGTAATTGTGAACATGTACTTTTTAGTTTCATCCCAACAAATATAAATATCAAAAATTAAACCCTTTTGTTTCTCTTTATAGTATTGATTAGTACAGGGGGATTTTGTCCTGCTTGTAATGGCACTCAAAGAACAGGATTCTTTCTCCCATTCATGAAAATGCCCAAGAGCAGAACTGACTCCACCCTCATGGTTCCTTTTTCTGAATGGAGGTTTTAACCCCACCCCCATCCTGTTTCCCCTCCAACTGAACTAAAATGTGATAATTTAGGCTGCCTTTTCTCTTCTGTTCTCTCTGTCTCAATGCTGAGTGTTCCAAGACGTGAGTTAATCCTGCAAGTGCTGTGTAGTGAGAGCCATTGTTTGGTTTTGTGCCTTGTTGTAATATAGGAAGTTGTGGCTATAAATCCAGTCCCAGAAAAGAGAAGTCTACAGGAAAAAGAGCAGGAGAGATGAAAACACAAGAGATGTGCAAAGGGATTTCTGAATTTACAGTCTCAAGCCTGTTTGCACTTCCGTTAGCTCTCTCGACGTGTCTGATATATCACTGTATTGTGCTGTCGTGCTCGACCCCCGCCCCTCCTCAAACAAAATATGCAGCTCTACAGTTCTCAACTTTCCAAAATACAGCTGCTATGCAACAAAGTCTGCAAAAACATCCTCAAGTGTGCCAAAAATGTACCAGTCATTTTACCCCGTAGAGGGGGCCAGGCTTTCCTCTTTCACTAACTTTCTGCAGTGAAACGAGCCACACACGTACACACACACCGACGCACGCGCACATTTAAGCCCCACATTTTTTATGAATGGGCTGGTTGTGAGGGACTGGCTGAGGCAGCACATTAAGAGAAAACGGAATCTCCATTCATGATTTGGACTGACTGAGAGCTGCGCTCAACACAGCTTTACAGGGATGATTTTCTCTGCCTCTTCATCTTTTTTCTTTTCTCTGCCTCTTCATCTTTCTCTTCTATTGTTGTTTCGATCTTTCTTTGTCTCTTTTTCTTATCTTTGATGGTTTTTCTTTCACTTTTTGCTCTTTTTCTTTCACTTTTACTGTTTTCTTTCTTTCACTTTTTCATCCTATCTTTCAGTTCTTAGCTCTCTTTTGCTTGCTCTTTCTAACAATTTACAATATGTATTGTATAATGAACTATTTCAATCAATTTTATTTTACAACATTTATCTCAGTTCATGTTAATTTATAAATTTAGACAACTGTTCAAAAGTTTGGGGTCAGTAATTTCTTAAAAAAAATGAAATGATGACTTTTATGCAGCAAGGATGCATTAAATTGATCAAAAGGTGACTGTAAAGACATTTATGTTACAAAATAATTCCATTTTTTAAATATTGTTCTTTTGAACTGTCTATTCATAAAGAATCAGAAAGAAAGAAAAAAAACATATACTGTACCATGGTATCCACAAAAATATTAAGCAACACAACTGGTTTTAACTGTGATAATAATATAAAATGTTTCCTGAGCAGCAAAATGATTTTTGAAATATCATGTCACTGAAGACTACAGTAATGGCTGTTGAAAATTCAGCTTTGCCATCACAGGAATTAATTACATTTTAAAATAAATACAGGAATTAAGATAGAAAACTTTTATTCAAACTTTCATACTTTTATTCAAAAGTTATTTTAAATTGTAATAATATGTCATTATTACTGTTTTACTGTATTTTCGATCAAATAAATGCAGCCTTGCTGAACATAAAAGACTTCTTTCGAAAATTAATTAACCAAGATTAATAAATTCTATATTTAAGTATTGTCATTTTTAGTTCATAACTATTGTGGTAACTAATGTTAACATATACAATCTTGCTGGAAAGTTTTACCTTTCTTCTGAAAGTCTGAAGTCTAAAACTTTATAAGAGCAATTCTTGTTCGAAACCAGCAGTTGCAAAGTTTTAGGATGTTTTTGTAGGTGGATACATGCCAGACTGTAAGTGCCAGTAAACAGCAGCTCAGACACTTATGTAAAACATGAATTTGGAAGCTCGTGCTCCGGTCTGCTGTTGGAAGAAGTTAGAACATTCTCTTCCCAGGCTGAGGTATGGCCGCTGAGGCATTGAATGGACAGCAGTGTGTATTTTACTGCATCGGTGCGGACAGAAGCAGCGGGGCAAACACTCTAAACCTACCCAGGAAATTGCCTTTTCTCCCTCCTCTCAAAGAGGGGTTTTTTCCTCCCTTCTCCTGCTTCATAGAAAAGAAACTGAGGTGGGGGCTAATGATAACAGAGCATATGTAACATAACATACACACGTCCACACACATCAGAGATTTCCAGCGCAATGCGATAGACAGAGTTTGGAGACATAGTCTCTTCCAGCTAAATAGTGCAAGTCATCACTAGTCTAAATCACTTAGCTCAGTCCATTGTTTCAGCATAATCTCGCATCAGTTCTGCTGAAACGCGACAGGCCACATCTCGTATTGAAAAAGCAATGATGGATCTATTGATCCAGGGTGATCTCAGAAGTAGATCAGGCAGCATAAGAAAAAAAAGCTTGAGTGTTTCTCTATCGCTGTGTATAATTAAGATATCGTCCCAGATGGGGCTCGGTGAGACTGATTGAAATGTATTTCTCACCGGCTTGACAGAAATTCAATGAGCAGGTGTTATCTCCCATCTCTCTGCAGGTCTCCATTCTTTACAGTAGAGTTCCTTATATAATTTCTGCAATGAGCAGAAAATCAATATATGCATTAAACATTAAGAGTGGACTGCGATATATTGAGGGCTGACGAATGTGAGGTTGAGAGTTTGATTACTCTTTCCACATGAACGCATGCATAAAATAATATCATGTTGCGATGGATGACATCATTCTATTGCATTTACAAATTATGGTCACCCACCTTTCACATTTTCACTTTCGTCTAGTTTTTCCAAAGTTAATCTTTTGGTAATGTTAAAATAGCTTAATGATTCATTGTTAAAAGACGGATGATGCATTTCTTTTCTTGGCAAAGCATGTCATGTCATCAGAAAAAAAAAAAAAAAATCAATCATAAAGGGAACTGATACCGTGTGGTTAAAAGAAATGTGTCATTTGCCATTCAGACCTAGTCAGCCAGTCTTGTCCACACCCAATCACAGCATGACATTTACTATACAAAAACACTAAACACATTAAGCATTCAAAAGTGTTTTCAAACAAAGACATGTTGAGAACAAAATTTAGCTAAACACGAGACTGTCTGATGGTTTTTACTTATCTTGTCATTCAAGTTTGCCAACAATTTTTGAGCTATCAATATGCTATCTGAAACTCAAAGGGGAAGTCGCTGACACTCAGAAGTGACAGTCAAACCCAAGCGAGCAGAGTACAATTTTTATGGCAAACCCCTGGCCATTCACCATCTGAGAGAGGCCAGAACATCCTTTTTTGTTTGCATTCTCTCGCTTGCTCTCTCTTTCATTCTGATCGTGTTTACATGGACACAACATATCTGCCATGTGTCGCTGTACTGTGCTGAGATAACAGCATTGTTTCTGCAAAACCTCTGGCTGAAAGAACAGTCCTTTCTATCATCCACATCCCTCCCAGGACTTTCCACTGATCATTTCAATTATGGTGGATTTACAAGAGCTCATGAAAGAAACATGAAAAGCTCCATGAAAGAAATAGCTGAAAAACAACTTTGTAATGCTCACCAAGCCATTATACACACTACCAAAAGTTTGGGATCAGTAATACTTTCATTCAGCAAGGATACATTATTAAACTGATCAATAGTATCAGTAAAAAGACCTTTATAATGTTACAAAGGTTTTCGGTTTCAAATTAATGCTGTTCTTTTGAACTTTCTGTTGATAAAAAATGCTGAAAAAAGGTCACGGTTTCCACAAAAAATATTAAGCAGCACAACTGTTAATTAATAAATGTTACTTGATTTTAAGTCAGCATATTAAAAGGATTTCTGAAGGATCATGTGAAACAGAAGTCTAGAGTAAATGCTGCTGAAAATTCAGCTTTGCCATCACAGGAATGAATTACGTTTTGAAATTTATTAAAATAGAAAAGAGTTCTTTTAATTGAAAAAAAAATATTTCACAATATTATTGTTTTACTGCATTTTCTGATCAAATCAATGCAGCCACGGTGTGCATTACAGACTTTCAAAAATATATAAAAAAAAAAATTCTAATTTCACTGTTTTGATTTTAATTTACAAATTAGTATAAAATATTAATATTGACCATTCAAGTAATTATCAGCTTATCAGTATCAGCTGGACTTTTAATATTGGTACGGTGCTGTAATGTCTACAATAAGGGTGTCTAAAATTTATTTTTAATTGGATTATTATAATAGTCAGTGGCGGCTCGTCGGGGGAGGCAGGGGAGGCACAGCTTCTCCATAATTTTGAGGTGAAAATGGGAGGAGGATGATTTAATGTTAATAGAATTCACAATTCATTTCGGTTCATGTCTCAGAATGTGTATTTTTTGTTTGTAATTTCACAGTTGTAATATCATAACGTGAAAGTGCCGCTTTTCTATCGCGAATGTGCCGAATCTGCTGATGTAATTACAACCGCTAATGATAGAGAAGGTTAG